AGGCGAGCGGGGGATCCCGCTCCATCCGTGTGGGAACCGGCCCCGGGATTTAATTTTTAAAGCGAGGCAGGGGAGGGTGAGCTGGCTGGGCACGAAACCAAGAGCAAGTGGCCGAGGGATGAGCAGCGTCACCCCACCGCCCCCTCCTCACACCCCGGGCCACACTGCAGTGCCCCTTGGGCAGGGCCCAGAGGGCTGGGGCAGGAGGAAGGGTGGCCCACAATACATGGGGGTGTTATGTGTGGCGTGGCCTGCAGTAAACAGAGTGTTACGCATGGGGTGTGAGACTGGAGGGAGCGGAAAATGGGGTGATGGGGCCCTGGGTGGCCTCTTGAGGCTTTGGCCGCTATCTCCATCCTCTTCCCAGGGAAACATCTGGTTGATGGTTTTACTTGCAGCTGGGGGCGAGGGGTTCATTGCTGCCTCACCCCGCATTTGCTGGAGATATTGCTGGGTGAAGCTGGTGGCACCCCGATGCCAGCTGCCCCGATGGTGCCGTGGGGCAGGAGCGGGACTAGTGGGGTGCCAGGGTGTGGGAGAGCAGCCATGGAGGTACCTTGGGGTGGCAGGCGCATGGAGGGACACAGTTGTCAGACCCAGTGGGCACAGCAAGGTGCTGGGGACCCCGAGAGCTGTCGGCTGTGAGAAGCGTTCAAACCCAGGGAGTAGGGCATGGCAGAGAGCAGCCACGGGAGTGAGCTGGGAGCCTGTGTTTGTAGTGGGCTGTCCGGCTTGTCCTCTGCTTGACGTGAGTCCAGTTACCTGTTCTGCTGCACCACCAAGGTGGCCAAACTGCAGCCAGTGAAAGACTCCATGTTGCAGAGTAGTGCATCCTGGAGCCTTTTGCCTGGAGGAGAGTGCACACAGCCTGGGGCTGAGCTCCTGTCTCAGCTCTACAACCTGCTGCTTGCATCTCAGTGCACTTTATTTCTGGCTGAAATGTTATAGTCAAAGCCTGGAAGTCAGTCAAGTGTGAACTCATTGCCATCCCAGAAATATAGTATGAAAAACTTTGCCCAAATTCAGCTCTGGCAGGGTTGGGAATAACATCCAGTCCTTGATAAGGTAAATTCAAGTCTTTCCGTTCATCTCGTAGTGTCTCGTAGAGTGAATCTACCCAGTTTGTGATTGAGTCACCCTGTTTACTGGCTCGTGCTTCCTTCTGAAGGCAAGAAAACCATTTTGCCTATCTGCAGTATTTTATTTCTGTCTGGCAAATAGTTTGAACTCATTGACAAACTATGAATAAAGTCTTCTCTAGATGCTGGACCAGAGAGGATAAACATCTCTGGACTGAAAGGATAAGAGCTTTGTAGTGGGGATATAAATACTCTGGATTCGAATTCTGCAGGTGATTTGAGCAGACAAGTCTGGACAGACAGATTTGGTGGGGGGAAAAAAAAAGGATGCTTAGGCACACTGCTTCATGAAATGTTTTCTGCTGTGTTTCTAAGAATATTTAAAAGACTGAGAAAACAAAAGCTAAACAGGCTCTGCGCTTAAAATTATGCATCAGCCGTGGTATGGTGTGCAACAGAACTGAAGTGTTGCACGTATGGGTGGCTTGCTGTGTCTTGGGTTTGCTGGCGTAATGGGTGTGCAGCTTGGTCCGAGGGTCGAATGAGACACGGTGAAGAGGCTGGGATGACAAGGGGAGACAGAAGTGACCTGAGTTTGCTGGGGAGGTGGCAGGGGAGGAGGTGTGAGGAGCAAAAGGAGGAGTCCGAATGGTAGCCTCCAGCAATGATGGGGCAGGCAGGATGGGGGAGAGGTCTGCCACGCGTGGAGGAGGGTGCTGGTGTGGAGTCAGATCGAAAGGGAAAGGTGGATGTTCCTGAGAGATGTGAAAGAAGTTGTTAGGGCAGCAGCATGTGGTGTGCGTTTTGAGGGTGTTGCTATGAGGAGATGAGTCTTATGTGCAAAGTCATGACATAAGCGTGAAGGCGTGACGGAGCTTTAGCAGAGGAAACTGGTCACCCACTTGCAAGGCAAGAGGAATGTGGGGCAGTATCAGGGAACAACAGTCTGGAGGGGAGATCAGGCCTGTGGTTTATGTCTAAAGAAGGCAATGGAGGGTCTTGGGTTGGAGAATGTTCACTGTGGAAGATGAGGGTAGTACTGCAGAGATTAAACAGCATGCAGGGCACAGAGGGGTTTTTTTAATGAGGATTTTGTAGCAAGGATCAAAACTGTAGCTGGGTATTGTGGGACTTGCAGAGATGCAGTAGGTTGGTCAGCCATGCACATGAAGCAAGGATGGAGATATGCATGTTAGATGTGGTGGCAATGGTGGTGAGGAGAGAAGAAACAGAAGGGGAGCTCCAGGATGCAAGAGGAGTTGGGTAACTCTAGGAAGGAGACATTCTGGAGCCTTTCCCTGTAGTCCTTTGGCTCCACTCCAGCTTTTGGTCAGTAATGTTTGAATGCCCTCCTCTGTGGGCAAGCAACAGTAACCAGTTCTCATTGTAACACGTGCCCACATCCTGCTGTGTAGGATGTTTTAGCAGTGGGGTCAGGGTAGCTATGAGAACAGGTAACTGATCTCTTCTTTGCTCCTTGCAGTAGTCTTTTAAGAGCTGAGCTCAGAAGCAGAGGTTGAAGTAGGCTGTGCATTTCAGAAGCTTTTCAAGGTGATGATCTGTTTTGTGGATATACACAATTGTGAAGGTGTGCCACAGCATTTTTGGAGTGCAGCCATTGACTTTGTGATGACCAGCCAGTGTTCAGCTGCTCTCCCCATAGTTGCCAACAATCTCCCTTTTCATCAGATCCGTGGGCTGCCACTTCAATTCCCTGACTTCTGTTCTCTCCAGCGTGGCTCATGTCAGGGAGCAGCAAGAGCAGGGCTGCTCCTCCAGGGAGGGCAACCTAGGAGCCAAAGGTGATGACAGCCACAAGCAGTGTCCTCATTAACTAGGGTACAGTGCCACCATACCTGAACAGGGCAGGCAGAACAAGATGCTGATAGCAGGGGTCCATCAACAGTCCCAGGGAAGATGAGGTGGTTAATTGGGTTCAGGGTGTACCCAGCAAATCCAGCAGCAGAAGATGGTGCCAGAGACAGGACTGGAGACCAGCTGCCTACAGTGTAGGTCCAAGGTTTGTCCAGGAGATACGACCGAGGACAGGTGCACCTACAGTGTGGCTCAGATGAGGCAGTATGCCTGGACCTGAACTTAAACGGAGCTCCTGGACTGTGGGCAGAGGGTGCGTGGTTGGGGTCTGAGGTGAGGCTGTTTGGGGCATTGAAAGCCTGTTAGTGCACTCAGGGTCCAGACAGCTAGAAATTCCTCCTTCCTCCTTGTCCTTTCCCCCATCAGCCTTTGTGAGGGTCCCCTTGACCTTTTAACTCCTCTTCTCCCCCCCCAGTTTATCTCTTGTAATTTCCTGTGGTGGCTTTTTCCTCACCCTTGTCTCTGATGGCCCTCACAGTTCTCCCCTACAGTGCTCTGGGGTTGCTCTGTCCTCTTTTGTGGCTTTCGCTGCTGTCTGTGTGGAAATGGTTCCTACTGCTCCTCTTCACCTTGACTGTTGTCTCTTACTTCTTCTGTCTTTGCAGAATTTCATGCAAGGAGAAATGTAAAATAAACGGACTCTATCTCTTTTTCTACTCCTCGAGCCTGTCTGCCTGTAGCGTTAGTGATCATATTAACCTCACAGTCTCCTTGTTAAATTTCCTTCTTTCTTCCTGATTGCTCATTATCCAGGTTATTTATAAATCATTCCAGGCCTTCTGTTGGTGTTGTACTGAAGTCTACCTGCTCTTCTCCATTGCTTCTGTTGAAAGCCTTTATAGAGATGCTGGTCATCACTCACCTTGTCTATTGGCTTTCCCTTTCTTGCTGTGCTGCCCATCCTGTTCCAAATGCAGCTGCTTAAAATCTTCTACCTGCTGCTCGGACCAGATTGCTCTCAGATTTAATGTCTGATGACTTACAAACTGTACAGTGTCACTTTCAAGCTCTTGCTTCCTTCTGCTACCGCTTCTTTCTGGTCTTTCTCTTGCTCCTGCCCTTCCCCCTTCCCCCAATTCTCCTTCTTGGTAAAGGGCAGGTATTGATTCTTCTACATTTTGCATGGCGCAGAGCACAATCAATAAGGGCTTGCTCAGTTGTCAGGATTGATTTTCATGTACCTTAAAGGTCCCTTCACCCTGTGCCAGGCTGAACGTGCCATAGATACTATAAGATACCTTAAAATGGTAGGGATGGTCTTAATGTAAAACGGAGCTGGGCGGTAATGCTTTCCAAGCTGTTGTAGTGTAAAGTTAGAGAAATTACTTTTTTTTTTTCTTGTAATCTCTTCAGAGGTGATCCCAGGCTGGGAGGGTGCAGTGTCTTCAGCTCCATCTCATCTCGGTGTTTCTGTGCTTGCTGCCTTTGTCCCCAAGTTACCATTCCTCAAATGCTGAGCATTGTTTGTGATCACTGCTGGTTGGTGGCAAGGCTGGGAAATTTGCTGTCACCAGAAACTCTATTTTGCCACAAAGTGCCATCCCTTCTCCCCTTCTTTATTCTTTTCTTATGTGGCAGACCTGTGTGCCCTGGGGAGAGGTCAGAAAGGAGCCATTCTAAGATTCGCTCCCAAAACACAGGGAATGAAGCTCATGTATCTAATGGTGTGATGCAAACCCATTTTAGTTGAGAAAAGGGACATCACTCCAAAATGGCTCCATCATACTCCTTACTTGTCTGCACTCGCAGAGACCCAGACTGGATTTGGTCAAACCTAGACAAGTTACTGTGCCCATTTGTGTCCCTGACTAGGCGGCGATAACTCTCTCTTGAGTCTTCCTCAGGCACTGACCACCCCAATTTAAAACACTGCAGGATGGGGCCCTGTCCCCTCTCCGAAGGAGTGTTCCCAAGTCTCTGCTACTCTTGCCTGCTGATTTTCAGCATGACATTCCCATTGCTTAGATTCATCATTGTTCTTTTATGTGGACCACGGCAAGCAACTCCATCTCTCTCCTTTGCATGTCTCTCTGTGATATGCCTCCAGACACCTTGCGTAGATTACTTGTTTCGTATGCCATGAGGTAAACGCAGATAAACAGTGTTCAGAATTGCTTATCGTGGGAGGGTCCCAGCACAAATTCCTGAAATGACTCCCAGTGCAGGGGAAATGTTGATTTTTTTTTTTTTCCTTTCTTGATTGTTTTTTTTTTTCCTTTCTTAGAAGGCAGTCATGATCACAGTTGGCTCCCATTGCTTTAATTACCGGCAGTCTAAGTAGAGAGCTCAAACTGAAGTAATTCTTCTTTGCCCATGTATCCTGGCAGTGGCACATGAGAGAAAGCAGATACTTGGTACTGAGCTGCTTGCCGTCCTGTGTCTGCTGTGTGGATAAATCATGGACTTCGGTGTTCAGGGGATCTGGTCTGGAACATTTTGTTAGTAGTAAATTCAGGCACACACAAAATACTGTGCTGCTTAATTGCCAGCAAGACCTATAATGACTCATTTTGTGGGTTTTTTTTTTCTTCCTCTGCAGCGACTATAATGGAGAGACAGAAGAGAAAACAAGAAATAGAGAAAGGACTTCAGTTCATTCAGTAAGTGGAAAACCTCATTGTTTCCTGTGGCTTTGGAGGCGGTTGTCTTTGTATCAAGGATTGTAGGAACTGAGTTCCTCCTATTCAGCGCTTTGGGGCTGCTGCATGGGAAAGAGATATTGGTCCTGAGGATTTTCACTGTGGTTCTTCAGGGTGCTTCTTGTCCTACCATCTCTCTAAACTTGAAATTGTGTAATTTTAATTTCCTTGGGTTTTGTCCTCCACTGCAGTTCCAGGATGATCTTTATAGTCAGCATAATGCAAATAGTACTTGGACCTTCTACTTTTATCTTCAGTGTGAAGATCTCAAAGTGCTCTCTCAACAAGGTTATCCCACCTTTCTTAGGAAGGGAGATAGTATTTCTGTTTTGTAGGTGGGCAAAGCAGGGTAAATGACTTGCCAGGTGCCCCATATAGTACCTATAGCAGAAATAGATGACCTGGGCTCTTTTACAGTTGCCAGCCTGGTAGATGCCTCAGGTCACTCTTCTGTGAATATCATGTGGCCTTCTAGAGTTTGAGGTGGTTGCTTGTGTGGTAGCTACAAGTCCAGGTGCTTCCTTATAAAGTACAGTAGTTTTTTTTCCCTCCAGTGTTTGAGTTAGCAAAGGCCTCAGGCTCAGGTCCAGTTTCATGGTCAGTAAGGAAGCAGCAAGATTGTAATCAAATTGTTTTGGGTTTTTTTTAAGGTCTGCTTTGAGTCCTGCAGTTATTATGGCTGAAATCTGTGCATCTACAATAGGAAAAAAAGCCAAATCTTTCATGTTACATATTTATATCCTGTGGCATGGCAATCATATTTTTGCCCCAGACTGAGAGTAAATAGGGCTGATAACCCAGTTTCAGAGAGGCAATTGTGAGGTTTATTTATTAGAAAGAAAATAATTTAGAAATATGGGGTGTTGTTCATGCTTCTGGAGTGTATCTTAAACTCCGAACCAGGGGCAGTGTCATTTGTCAGCTTGTTTTGATGTGGAAGAGGGATAGTCCAATTTTATAAACAGCATGAATGTTTCTTACAAAGCCAAGGCATTTCCTGTAGTTAATTTTAAGGAGCAGATGATGATTAGGTTAGATGAAATCTAAAAAAAGTTTATTCTCTGACCAATAAGATCATGTATATGATGTTGTATTTCAAAGGTGAGGAGGCCCATGAAAGGTGCTAAGGATTTCTCTAGAGCCTGTTGTTTTCTCCTTGAAGAGATAAAGTAAATACATGTGGACCAAACCTGGATGACCTGGGTGGTCTGATTTGAAGAATGGAACCTTTCATCTAAGTCTCAGTGCTGTTGTGGGGTCGGTGTTATTCACACAAGCACTGCCAGTTTTGTGGCACAGCCTGGCAGCCTTGGCCAAGACACCTGGAGTTAAATGGCCTCCCAAAGCTGCATTTTCTCCTTTCCTTTTGTGGTGTAGGCCTAAAGGCGTGTGGCTAAGTTAATGCAGAGGAAAGTGATTGCATTTATCACTGTTTGTCTTTGGTCACACAGAGGATTTCAGGAGGTCTTGGAGTGCCAGTCTGGTGCCTCTCATTAGAGCCAGAGGCACTTAAAATACGCTTGTATTCTCCATGACAATCTCTCATGGGACTTTCTCAAAGATGGTGGGTTTTTTAGGTGACTGGCTGAAGGCACATTACAGAGGATCATGTATGCGCAGAAAATAGCTGAGAATAAGATTCCTCTAGTTTCAAATCCCTTTGGGACTTGATCATCTCTTGACACCACTGTGGCCACCACTGAGCACAGTGCTCCCTAATTGTGTTCTCTTTGCCCCAGCTGCCTTTAAAGTGATAAACTGTTCAGCAACTCACTGAGATCATGAACACAGGACCAGAAAAATGGTTTCTTCATCAGACAAAAGCCTGTGTTTGTATGGATGCCTGTTTCATGAGAATTTTCTCTTCTTTTTTTCAGGTCCACATTACCCCTAAGCCAAGAAGATTATGAGGTAATGACGAATTTGTTTTCTGAAGTTGGGAACTCTTTGGTTAGCAAGATTTGTTCTGTTGCACAGCCATTAGTTTACATACCAAAAGTGGAGAGTGTGGGATGGTCTGTCACAATTTGTCTGTAACTTAAAGCTTTAAGGTTCTGACAATGACAACTTTCAAGAAAAGGAGAAGACACTTGAGTGTTCAAGAAGCAAGGAGGTTTGACTGGATTATTCTCCTCTACCAAAAGACTGATGTTTTACAGGAGGGTGGGAAGGCAGGAGAATCTTAGTGGGCAGGAAGCTTGCTAAAACATATAGAAAGGAACGGGAAATTGGGAAACCTCTCCTGTCTCTGAATATCCACTTCAGTCTATTTGCTGTCTCCCTGCTGCCCAGGCCTTTTTGCAGAAGCTGGTGAGAAACTTGTTTGCAGAGGGCAATGATTTGTTTCGAGAGAAGGATTTCAAGCTTTCACTGGTACAGTATGTAGAAGGGCTGAACGTGGCGGATTATGCAGCCTCCGACGAGGTGACCATCCCAAAGGAACTCCTGTGCAAGCTGCATGTCAACCGAGCTGCCTGCTACTTTGCCATGGTGAGCACCTTCCCAAGTCACCCCCAGGGGCCAGGGAGGACATCATGGTTGCAGTGCCATGCAATTGGAAAAGATATCAAGAGGGGTTTCAATTGATTTTGTCCGCTCCCTTCTCCAACACTGGAGGAGACGATGACGCACAGAAAACTGGTATCTCCCCACTATCGCACTGTGTCTTGCAAGACCAGAGGAAGGATGTGAAGGAGAGGGGGCCAGGCCTAAGGTACTGAGAATGCAGTTCTGGTCCACATTGGTGAGGAGTTAGTACAGTCTGGAGATTGGAAAAAGCCAGTGCCTTCCAGTACTGACTGAGTATTTCTCTGCAACGCTGTTTGAGTATTGCTCTGGAGGCTCCTGCCTCCTCAGTTGAGGCACTGGAAGACAGTGAGAAGGCTTTGGGTCTTGGCAGAACTTTCAGCACACACATGGAAAAGGATTCTGCTCTACTCAGGCTTTAAAAGGCTGCGTGCTTCCATTTTCCTAAGGAATCTAACAGCTTTCCTTTATGGCACAACCCCAGAGCAGGTCCATCCTGTTCATAATGAGGCTGAGTCCCATGAAAAAAAATTAGCAAGCAGTCACATAATTAAAGACTGTCAAATGTCAGATGCCCACGGTATGGGGGTAGACAAGATAAGGTTGCTCAAGCAGCCTTAATTCTGGCATTCACTGACTTTGAAGTGTTTTGAGTTTTGCAAGACTTGACAAAATGTTCTAGTACTGTTGGTTTTGTGTGTTTGTACACTGGTCTGTGAGTGAGGTAATATATGTATTTCCAACCGCCTTTTATGTTCCTATTTTCTGCTGAGAGATAGAACATTTGCATTCACACAGAAGGAGGGGTTAGTCTGCTGTGCCTCAGCTGACTCGAGGTGGTTTCTTGCATGTAGGGGTTGTATGAGAAGGCACTGGAAGACAGCGAGAAGGCTTTAAGTCTTGACAAGGAGAATATCCGAGAAAAGCCCGCTCCCTAAATGAACTTGGAAGACACAAAGAAGCATACGAGTGCAATAGCCGATGCTTGCTGTCCCTCCCACATGTAAGTTTTTGACATACGACTCATCTTGATTTCTGTGGCTCACCACCTTCCTTCTCTGTAACATGCTTAGTGTGAGGCCAGAGGATAGTGGAAGAGGAAGCTTGGCTGTTCCTGGGAACATGCTTATGCCCAGAAATTCTGTCTCTCTGGCTCGAAGAAGGTGTTTGACCTCACATGTTTCTTCAGTGCAAGTCACCCGCTACAGACAGTGCCAGCCAGAGACACCAGTTAGTGACAGCAAGTTTGGTGGCCTATTTGTGGAGAGCAAAACCCTACCCTAACAAAATGTGAACTAAGGCCATGAGATTGTTTTAATTAGCTGGTTTTATATGTCTTAATGGGAGTAACTAGGAGCATGGGACAAATGGGAACTGGAGCACTGGAAGGAAAATATGTATACTTTTCCTGTTTTAGATAAAAATGTCTCATGTTTTGCTTACTGATTGCTAAGGCAAGCTGATAAAGCTTTTTATTTCTTGTCGGACATGCGAAGGTGTCCTTGACATCACATGTCGTAGTTATTTTTATGTTCACAGGTGTGTAAATTTTTGCATTCAGAGGGGACTATCTGCATATACTAGGCCCTAGATATTTTCCTGACAATGCTTTTGTTGAGTGTCCTTTTAGGCCAAATATTGAACAGGAAACCAGACTGTGATTAGATGGATTCTAGCGAGCACTGGTTGTCTTTGCTAAATTTGGTTCTGATCCATCACAGTAATACTATTACAAGAAAAAT